ATGTTATCAATAGTTTTTAGTCAGGATTTCTCAAAATTTTGTTTGCAACTCTCCGATTGTCATCATTTTAGTGACTACAGAACGTCGGCGAAACACAGTTCGAAACCATTAAAACGAAAGCAGTGGAAGAGTTTAAAACCTGCAAATTCAAATGCACTACTTTCTAATGAATCTTATGTATAAATACATTTTTTTTAACAGAGTATTTCAAATAAAATATATACATGTTTTAATGTGCAGGTACCTTGTAATATAACAGTTAAAAATCAGATAGAAATAATCTTTATTTTGTAATAAACAAGAGAATTGACAACGGAATATTTTTTCATAACGTCTTTAAACAATATTTTGGCCAAATATTTTTCATTATTTAACGCTATGAGACCTATATTTTGTTCTTAAAAACTAATCAATAATTTACCATCTCTTACAAACTAAGTTTATGTATATAGAGAATATGTATAGTATATATATTTATACAAACTATCTATTCTTATACCATAGAAATTTTTATATATCTTTGGAAAATAATACAAGTTGTACCAAAAATTTTAAAACACGTCCAACCCTTAAAAAAATGTATGGCGAATAAAAAAATCGCCGTCGACATTAATACTGATTTATGCAGAAAACTTAAAAAATAAATTCAACAATGAAATAACAGTAAAATTTTGATTTTTTCATTTACATCTTCATGATTGAAATATGAGAATGTTTCACTCTCTTGGAACCATCCTGCTGTTTTACTATTTCAGTTGTTTGAGAACCCCTAGATACTTCTGCAGTAGTATGAGTTGCTCTCAAAAATCAAGTTGTTTTTAAAGTTTATATGACAGTCCATGTCAAAATCTGTTAAATGTATGAAAATGTAATTAAATATTTTGTTAAATGATCGAGAAATTTAACAAAATATAATGCGGTAACTTGAAAGTACATAGGACGTATTACATAATGCAATCAAAAATTTTTTAAAATTCAAGAAATAGAAACAACCTCGGGTAATTCAATTTAAGAGTACAATTAGTACACCACAGTGAGATCTTTTGGGTTTACCCAAACAGTATAATTGGATAAATGAACAAATGTATTTTCAATAATATAAATTTTTTGATCAAACGGAATGAAGAAGGAAACCATTTTTTTTGTTTAACTTTAAAAATATGGACTATCAAAATAAACTGTAAAAAATATCTGAATGTATTTTGACAGACTGTTTTATTAACAGGATAAGCTTGTCAAAGTAATAAAATAGTGTCATGGAATTAGTCCAATTGTTTATCTTTGAAATATATCATTTTGCGTACACTTAAATTAGACAACCTAATAGTAATATAAAATAAAATCACAGACAATTTTATGAATATTTTGAACGTGTATTAATGTTTTTGGTACACCACGTATGTACTGAAACAAAACAAATAGAAAAAACTTTTCTACTATTCGAAAACTGTTTAGGCTCTTTGGAACATTTCAACAATTTCGGTTTCGACATTTTGATTGACTTTTTTCTCATTTATGCAAAAAATTAATTCCAAAATAACCTTCAAATAAACGAATATTTGAACAATTATTTCCCAAATAATTTTTTTCAAACAGTATTATAAAAAACTACAAAACATCAATAAATATTTTTTAACAAACGTTTTAAACTGTCACAGCCTAAAATTGAAAAAATCCAGTGCTACTCAAGGCTTGTTCGAGACGCATTGCGACCATTCGTTTTTTTTTGTTTCCCAATCCCTAGAATTGTCCATCTCGTCTACAAATTAGAGAGTGAAATGATACTTGAGCAAAAGTTTTAAAGTCCTTAGACTGTGCACAACTATTTACTCTAGCAACATATTGCAAATATGTCATTTTTAACAGGTTAGTCACAAACCACATTATTTCAGGCTTTTAAAGATGTTTCTTACACTTGGCAACTCTTAAATTCTCAGATAAATGTAACACTTAGATACAATTTCAACAGAAAACATCAGTAGAATGTACATTTGTGACTAGTCCTGTATATTAAAAATATGGCCTTTGAATGGTAATATGTTCCTATTCAGAGATCAAAAATATACAGATTTAAGTACAAAAAAAAACAATATATATTTTGCACACGATACGCTCATAATGATATTGTTATAAACTCAGTACAGTATTTTTGACATGACGGTTAATACTGTACTTATAATTTCTTATTTTTAACACTTAGTTCATTAGCAGTGTCGCCTGAATCAGTAATTATGGGTCAAAAGCTAGCATATCAGTATAAGAGTATCACGATGATGTAATAATTTATAATTTTAAAATATACAGAGTGATATCGATAATTTTTTAATCAGTAATTTATTATCGCCCTGTATAGAATTTATATTTCTGTAACAAACATTTCATTAGCATATTCCGTGAGTAAGTTTTTTTTTTATTTTTAAAATTATAAGAGCACGAAAAATAATTAACCTTGACTTTTAACTTTTTTATAATATCACAGATCTATGTAATCTTTTTCGAATTTAAAAAAAGCTTACTCACTCAATTTTGTTTTGTAAATGTTTTAATAAAATAATGATTGAAAAATACATACAATTTGGTGGTTACAATTTCTTTGTAACAAAAATATATATGAAAAAATAGTAAAAACAGTTGGTACGTATAGAATACCTGCAAAACTTACTTATAATCTATGAAAATAAGTTTTTTTATTTCGATGTACAGTTTAAATATGTTTAAAAAATCTGTATTTGCATTCTTAAAAAAATATCTTGCATCAATATGTAAGTTTAATGTTTTTTTATATAAGATGTAAAAATATATGGTAAATCTAAAACCTCAAATAATATTACAAAGTCATATTAAATAATTAAAAAAAATGTTCTTTTTTTAATATACTGTGTCTTCTATAAAGTTGGATCAATATGGGATTTTTTTTAATATTAAGATTGGAAAAATACGTGGGACATTCACCTCTGCCGTTTTAAAAACTAAAAATAGCCCATATTAAAGTTGGCCAGGTACTGCATTAGTTATGTATCAAAATCGTAAAAAAATGTAATGCAAATTTGACAGAAAACTACAACTAGCAAACTTTGATAAGGATTTATTTTAAGTATTTAAATAAGCCAAGCTCATTGCCTTACGACGTTTTTTTCCAATCGTAATAAAAAATTCCCAAATGGATCCAACTTTATCGCACTGTATATATACAGGATGTAAAAAGTGGATCCACAAAAATGTTTCTAAAATAGGCTGACCGACAAAGACAAAAAATACCAGTCATGTACATGATAACTGTGAGCGGTTCTGAATTGAATGAAAACCGACAATTAAAAAGAAGAATCATTTGCATACGTGAATTATACAGACCTATAACATTTTTTGTGGATCACTCCCTAAAAGATTTTATTACCTCTACTTATTGTATTTTTTTTTTTTTATTAACATGTTTGAAATTCACTTTAAACCAAAAAACCACTAAGAAGACAAATCAATATTCCAAAATTTAAAGTACATATTATGATTTTAATATTTTGTCAGTTTATGGAAAATTAAACAAAGTGAAAATAGAAGATAACGTATCAATTCTTACAAACTTTTTTAGTTTGTAGTTAAAAAAAAAATTGACTCATTATTATAGAAACTACATGATTCAAAATATCCTGAATATAAAACGAATTTTTTCTTACAACGTAAGATAAACTTACATATCGATTACACGATCAAAAAAATGATGTTTTGTTACAATTGACAGACTGGGAAACTCTACAATCAAAATCCCCGAGCTATCTGAAAAACAACCACATTGCATATCTTTTACATATACAAAACAAAACAAAAAAACGAACAAAAAACGAACAAAAAACGCATACAACTTTACGCTGAATAGTCTTAAACATTAAATAACATTTTTATTTTCTTCTCGGTTTGATCTAAGTAACTCACCTTAGAGCACAATGTTTCTTCTAAAACAAATCTAAGTCATAACTAAGCTACAAAATGTCCTCTACAGATGGCATCTCACTGTTTTTCCAACATAATATTGTCATTTAAAATCTTAATATATCAAGCAGTTTCGAAAAACTCAAAAATAAAAGTTCTGAGGAGAGGAATCGACCCAAATTCGAGATCAACTCAAAGCAAGATCCAAAAAACCGCGAAAAATATAAAAAATTAAATTCAAAAGTCTGCCTAAATAATACTTTGATAAATCCTAGTGGCAGAGAGGGATTAATTGCTTTATTAAAAGTCATTTCAAAATTGACACAAAATGTCACTTGGCATCTCTCAAGTGAAATTGACATTTCCAGAAATAATGACAAGCATTTTTGTCTAAAGGTGACTATCAAAAGAACTGTGATAATAAATATATAGAAAATTCTTGTTTTGGGACAAAAAATATACATTTTGAATCGACAATATACCATCCTATATCATGTATATGATCTAAAAGGATTAATAAAGTAGTATTAATATTACATGATATTCATATTGAGGTTTCAGCATCATTATCGGTGTGTTTACTAATCAAAATTTATTTCTATATGATGTATTTATTTAGTCCTTTAATAGAGGGTTTACTATGAAAATTATTGGCAGCCATGAAAGCGGCTGTGTAGAAGAGTTGTTTGTTGAATATATCTAGAATACTCATAGTTGACAGACAGACGTTGAAATAATTAATATCAGTTATATAAAAGAAAATAAAACCAAAAAGTTAGAACATGTAAGCATGAATTAATTGACGTTAGCGAAGGCTATGTCTTTAAATCGAGGTTGATAGTCGAAGTTGAACGACCCCACTCCCACATATCAACAACAAACAAAAAAAAAAACGAGTCTTCTAAAAATAAAAAAATGTGTTTCACATCCTCACTCTTCAATAAATATATATTTTTTATATCCCTCTCTTAGGTATTACATTAAATTTATAGTATATTACATTTATTGTACAGTCTTAAATAAATAGAAAAAAATATACAAAAAGGCAAAAAAGATACCGCTTTCAGTCGGATGAGCTACAACTTGAGCGACTCCAGCTTTTTGCAGACCTCTCCCACTTCTCCCGGCAGGGGAGCATCGCCGGCTCCGATCTCGTTGATACCGGCGCCACCGCTGCGTCTCAAAGAACGTTTGTTGCGTCTGGCTGCCTGAGGAACAAAGCTCTGGGACGTTGTTGTGGAGAGGTGGACCTGGGAATTATTCGAGGATTGTGGGGAATTAGGGCAAGACAAGGTATTACTATTACTACTTGAGATGTTAGTTGAGGAGTTTGTGTTAACGGGGTTGCTGGTTGAATTTAGATTGTTATGGGTATTGCTGCCGTTTTTTTTAGTCGTTGCTACTACATCGTTAGGTTTGGAACGATCTCCAGATGGCGTTGTGTTTGGTCGGTAATAATTATTATTATTGTTGTTGTTATGTTTGTTGTAATAGTTTTTTGCGTTACTGTTTGTGATAATTTTAAATTGGTGATGGGTCATGGGTGAGTAAGGAGCGGGCGGAGGAGTATTGACGGCCGTCCTCATGGCCTTCTCTTCGTTTCTGTTTTCGTCGGCGCAACTGGCCGATGAATTCGAGTCGGTACGCAAACTAGAACGACTGGAATGATCATTCAAGCGCCTACTGTTGTCATAGACACGACGTTTAGGCTTGTTAACGTTATTGGTCGGCCGATTATCGTACCCATTAATGCGGCGATAATCAGTGAAACTTGGAGCGTATCCATTGTTATAGACGCCGAAAGGAGGCGGAGGTGGCTGCTGAGGATTGAACCCGACGAATGGGTTCGGAACGAAACCGTTTGTATGATATACCGGCAGATTGTTTTGAACGTTTAAGGCGGGAGGTTTGCGCCTGCGGCCGCTCTGCATCGACGAGTAGTCTTTCTCCTGTTGATGATCTATTGACAGGAGAGAAACGACAGGGGTGTGCGAGTTCCTCTCTTCCGACTGTTGAAGCTGACGGTTAACCTCTGTAGGTTGATGATGCAAGGGCGGTTTGCCGCCTCCGATGTTCGCGTCGGAGACAGTCGAAGCGATTTGAGGTGCCGAGATGTGACGACTAGTGTTTGATGTGATGGAATTTGTGGGAACGATGGGATGTGGTAACGGTACGGGCGCCGTCGGTGGCCCTCCGAGCGATGTTTCTACGTCTTGAGGTGTAATTGTCTGGTCCAAACTGTTGTAGGATTCCTGATCGTTGCCACGAGAAACAAAATATGCCGATATTATTGTAATAAAAACTTGCTTAAGGAGCTAAACATTATATTGTAGTATTTGTTACCTCTGCATAGGGTCCACTGGCGCCGAGTTCGAAGGCTTCAGTATAAATAGGTGGACCTTCCAAAGTGGCTCCGTAGACTGGCAAATTGTAGAACATGGGATCGCCAGGGTTGTAGGCAGGCATCTGCATCGAAATACAAAACACTAATTCAACTGATCTCTGCATACATCACTTAGGGCTTAAGGAGCTTTAAGTATTTTACTCACCTGTTGGCTATAGCAAGGCGGTCTCGGTGGACTGTTGGAGGGTGGCATCGGAGTACATTGGGGCCCCCCAGACCCACTTTGGGCTCCGGCCATATATTGTGCCGAAGGCGAGGCACCATTGCCCTGGTAGAAGTTGTAGTCGTACTAAAATTTAATAAGTCAATATTCTATTGGAATGTCGTTTTACAACTAACTGCTAAGTTTCCTAAATCATTCATCTTTTCATCATGCTAATGAAAAACAATTTTTTATTATAATTGCTATTTCCTATTTTAAAATGGCATTGTGCAGTCAGGGTGATTAAAATTAGAAATTAAGCAATGAATTTTGTGTATACGACAAATTGTAATAATTACGAGGTAAATTCTTATGGGGATTTTTCATGTTTGAAACATTAACAATAGTTTGGGTTTTATATCGATTAAATAAGATCATTCAAAATAGAATTTCTGGAAAATACGAGAAGGGCGAGTACTATGCTAATATAAGAATAATGAAATAAGAACGAAATCTAAAATTAAAGCCAAATTAGACCAGCAAAAATATTATTGTTTATCACACATCAATTATCGTTTTGATGCATCATTACAACAATTTGTCAATAGAGTTGCCTCCAATATCGGTGGAGTAAAATAGAGTTAATAATTTTGTTAAAAAATAATTAAAATTTTCCCAAAAAAATCATTTCAATGTTCATGTCAAATATTAAATAATCATAGAATGTAATAAATTATAAAAATATATAAAATTGATCAGTAACTTTTTTGTTTCAGAATCGATAATCCTGATTAAAAAAGGATTGTTCCATGTCTATGTATTCATAAAAAAGACATACAAGTAGGTATTAGAATATGAGCTGAACTTGCTCTAATTTGTGTCAAACTGACTGCTGTTATAAACATTCTAATACTTATTTGTATGCTTTTTGATGAATATATAACTGTACTACTGCTTAACTAAAGATGCAACAAATGGCCTGTAAAACAATAAAGTTTGTTGCAAGGAAAAATAAAAAAAATATTACACGAACTGTTTTAATAAATAAAAATTAAGAGGAATGTGTTCACACTATGTGGGTAAGACAACTGATAGCAGCAAAAGCTTATTAGAAAAAATATACCGTCATGCAAAACATGCAATAGATAATAGATTATTTATATATAGTCCATTTCACCGATTTTGGCGTATACCTGCAATAATATGCGACATGCTTTCAAAATTTTATCCGTTTCATATTTTCACAAACTCATTCAACTTCTATGCGTAAACGTATGTTATTATAAAAGGAACATACGGGCCTAACCTAACAATGAATGATTTATCGAGATGCGTTTTCTTTCTGTTTGCGCCATGGTCGCGTTAAATTTGAAGTACACTCAAGTTTTAAACATGCATTTTGTCAATTTGACGTTTCCTTTCAAATCCTAAAATTTCAATTCTAAATCGAAACGATATTCTTGGTCATTAGGTTTCAATCATCTCGATAGAATAAAGTAGAAATGACATTAACACTATTTTGCGATATGACCGATGGATGCAATTCGAGTGACGGAAAATTGTAATGAAAATGGCGACTTAAGTCGTACTTTGATTTATTTGAAGTCAATAATTTTATATTTGAAGAATGACGAAATGAAAATTACTTTATATCATTTAAATGAAGCCATTTAAAAAAAAATGCATTTATTCTCAGCAAAACTTGCCTAGTTTCACAAGCTTCAGTTTGACATATGACATAAAAGTGTAATGCAAAGGTCACTTTAGCATTGTCATAGCATCTCCTCTTTATTCTACCTCAATAGTTTCAATACTAATATGCCTAGAAGTACGATAAGTTGAGAAAAGACAATTTGTTTGAGTACGGACTTTTTCATTTGTGCATGAACGGCATATGCTTTGCAGTTGTCACGGAAAATACAATAACAACGCTAGAAATATCACACCTAACTTAAAGACTAATGATGTAAGTGATATTGTAAAAGGAGCAATTAGAAACGTAATACGGCTTGCATGTTACAATCAAAATACTAAGGGTAGACTTGGAAGAATAAACGTAACGCTTGGTGATATAAGTTTATGGCGTCTTATGAAAAACTGTGAAGCAAAATTGACAATATTGCGAAAAAAAATTATTTGATATAAGAAACATTTTTAATTCCAAACCTACGTTTTTTTCCTGAAGGAAACGTGGATATTTTTTAAAAGAATTATAAAAACGTACATGTTAACAAGTAAATTTGAAGAGCTTAAAAAATGAACCAGTGATGGGAGTTTGTTGAAGATGCAGGATTACTATTTTCCACAAAATCGAAGAGTGCAGACTATCATGAATCTTTTATAAAATGCCTTTGTGAAAAGTTATTACAAATACTGAAGGAACCAACCCTAATCGTCATCCACGATACATAAATACCGGTATGCTACTACACATAACGTGGTATAAAGCAAACCGTATTTGATTGACATTTGAATAAGAATTATTTTTTTAGTTTTATTTCTAATTATAAAGATTGAAACGAAATAATGATACGCCTTCATTTTTGCAATTTTAAATGAGAGTTAAAAAGTATTTTGTTTGTGTGGTTTATTTATAGCAGTAGCTCCCTTGTTACTTGCTTGTCTCTCTGTAAAGTTTTCCTAGGTATGGAACAATCTGGGAGGCTTTTAATGTCGTCACAGAATTTTCTCAGGAACATTTCTTTGGGTATACTAATGGAAGAAAGAAATGAGCGGGTAACAATGATGTGTGAAGAGAATGTGTGAAGCCTGCAGAAAAAGGAATTCGAAAAAGAAAAGATTTCGCTTTAAATCCTTACCCTATCCTAGACTAGTGACCAATGCGCTAGTTCAGTGATGATGTAATTATGGTTCCACTGACAATTAAAGTGACAGTAGGTTTTTTGAGTGCGTTCTGTTCGTTTTGTTTACCTAAATTATATCGTTCTATCACTTAATATAAATATATTCCAAAAGTAGGTAGCATGCATTAAATATACAATCGCTTAGTTACCAATTACATACCTTTAATAGTATATTATTAAACGAGCAATTTATGGTAGCCATTATTCACGCAGAGTGAATAATGGCCATAAATTGCGAGTCTAATACTATACTTTGTCCACGACCATTATGGTTTCTTTATTAAATAAAAGTTAAGTGTAGAATGGAAAGTTTTTATTAAACATAGGTAACTAACTGTTGTTTTTTACACTTTTCAATTTTTCGATTTATCGATTTTTTGATTTTTCGATCTAGAAAATATCGTTATGAAAAGTATCGTCTATCTTTTAGTTATCTACCGGAATGTGCCAGAATTACAAAAGCGTGAATTATCATAATTCACTCCGTGATATATGGGTACTATATGCTTTTAGTTAGGAGGTACAATATTGATTTATTATTAGGTGGTCGTGGACAAACTATTTTTTATGACTTGTTAACAATATTTAGAAATAAACTAAACACAGTAAAAATGTATATGTCAAATTTATTGATGTTTTTGTTAAAAGCTTGGTTAGAATTAAATGTCAGTGGAACCAAAATGACATCACACTGAACTAGCGCATATTACGAGTATAAAACCATTTCAAGTGGAACCTTGTACATTTGGCGCCGTCACTGGTCTTGCTTTATTTACTCATTTTCTATCATCGTTGTCATTTTAATATCTCCTAGATACAGGATTGCTAACTCGGTTGATCAGAAATCCGGGAGAAAGAAAATCAAATCTTATAAAAGTATTAGTCCTTTCTTAAAATAATTCTTATGTATGAAGTTTTACAATATTTTTAACCCGATTTTTTTTCTTTTATTTGTATTTTGTACACCGCGGACAGCTTGCAATACCTTTCTATTAAAAAAGATCAAATCATAGAACTGTTTACATGTTTTACATATGTATTTTAAATTTGTACATACCTATATTTCAGATTTGACATGAGTAGTTGCATTAAGACGAGTTTTTGACCAAAGTTCATTAACTACGCTGAAAACACGTTGGACAGCATCGTTTTAGATATGAATCGATAGAGTGAATACAATAAGCGTTTCTATTTATTTTCCTAATTCATCCACACATTTTTTTAACCTTCCGCCAATAACGTGAAAATTTTTAAAATTTTAGATAACGTCGGTCTATCAAACCGACTTTTTCAAAAAATAAAAAAAATGGAAATCAATTGCGGAAATAAAATGTTTCATTATAACATGAATATTTGCTCTATTATCTATGCTGGAATATAAAATGTATGAATTTTTTTGTTGTTTAAACAATTTAGGAGATAATAGAAAAAAAATGTCATTTTTATAGACTGATTTTTATTCAAATTAAAATATTAAAAGAAAACTCAAATTTTTAGCTAAACGAATGATTAACATAGTAGAAAAAAACAGTTTTATTCTCGAAAACCATATAGATTACTGGAACTATTACTAAACATTTTGGGCCTCATAATCTTCGTAACAAGCTTGGCAAAATCCAGTAAAGTGCTCCAGACACAAATATTTCTTACAATTTCTGCAAGTATATTTTGTTCTTCTACTTTTTTTTGTGCTACAATATGTACAGCGTCCATAAATTCTATTTTCAGGAGCAATATTTTCAGTTTCTATTCCACATATTTCAGCAAGCCGCAAACGAATTGTCCTAGGAATATTTTGTTGTTGAGCTCGTCGGCGAATATGTTCATCAAGCAACTGAAATCCTAGATTTTCTAAAAATCTTCTTCTATCGATTTTTGTTTGAGTATTGCTATTATAAACTATATAGCTATTTATTCCAGCGACGTTCATAGCACTATAAAAAATGACCATTGGCCAACGACGAGTTGCACGAGCGCAATTGTAGGCTACACACATTCTGTCAACAACGTCGACACCTCCTTTCGTTTGGTTATAATCAATAATTATTTCTGGTTTGCCAGTTTCCCTATCAATAGCAGCATCGTTATGCATTGTCGATAGTAATAGGACATTTTTGTTTTTTTTTGGACAGTACGAAACGAGTGTACACTTGTCTCTAAAGCAAACATAACTGACTTTTCTGCTCTTGGCAACAACATTGCTGGAGGTATATCAGGTTTGTTTTTGCGTAAAGTTCCAATAGTAGTAAGGCGGTGTTGCCTTAGAAGCATCTCTGACATACA